CAGAGGCAGAGATCTGTCTGGATCTCTGTGAGTTCAAGGATACAGCCAAGCAAGGTGACTCTTGCCTTTAATCCCAGGAAGTGATGGCAGGAAGCAGAAAGGTATTTAAGGCGTGAAAACCAGGAACTAGAGCCTGATTAAGCTTTTAGGCTTTTGAGCAGCAGTTCAGCTGAGATTCATTCTGGATGAGGACCCAGAGGCTTCCAATCTGAGGAAACAGGATCAGCTGAGGAATCGGTGAGGTGAGAAAGCTGTGGCTTGTTCTGTCTCTCTGATCTTCCAACATTCATCCCAATAACTGGTACCAGGTTTGTTTTTATTAATAAGACTTTTTAAGATTCATGCTACATATTCCAATAGTTGGAAAATTATTGAATAACTGGAAAATCTAGTCTGCTTTGGGAATAAGGTTAAATTTTCAGTGTCTCGAAGAAGATTCATATTGTCAAGTTAACAAAAGGCAAATAAACTTACCACTGCATGTTTTCCCATCTGTCTGGAGCACTGAACCTTCGGGACAGATACACTGTGGACCATCTGATGTCAGAACACAGCTGTGGCTGCATTCAGACACGTTGCTTGGACAGGAAGTAAGTTCTAGTTAGGGAAGAACAAAGTCAAAATTAATGTTAAAATTGGGGTGTGAAAATTTGCTATAATTGCCAGATGGTGATGGTGCACGCCTTTAATCCCAGCACTTGGGAGGCAGAGCCAGGTGGATCTCTGTGAGTTTGTGGTCATCCTGGTCTACAGAGCGAGGTCCTGGACAGGGACCAAAACTACACGGAGAAACCCTGTCTCGAAAAACAAAAACAAAAACAATCAAACAAAAAAATTGTTATCAGCTGCTACTCTGAAAGGAGGAAGCTAAATTTTAAAAAATCTAACATTTATGTGATGCTATAGTACTAAAAATATGAAAACAAGGAACAAAATATCAATCTAAAAAAAAGTGAAGAGCTAGGATTTTAAAAAAATATCTGCAATCTCCTATGAGTTTCTCCTATTTCAAATAAGATTTTAAAAGTTGTTAGTCATCAGAATTCCAAAATATTTTACATAGAATTTCACCAAGTGACTCTCAAGTTCTCCTGGAGGACCAGTTACACTTGGTAGAAAAAGCAAAGGTATTTTGTATGTGATTAAGAGAAATGAGAGGCTCTTAACAAGTACTAAAGCGGAAGATAAGTTCCTAGAGTGCCGCACTTGTGTGTGACAGCATGCAACTTCAGAACACTGGGAAATGGGAACGGGGAAAGACAGACATTAGGATAGGACAGGGCAGACAAGGCTCAGAATAGAAGAGGCTCCAACTGGGAATTATGTCACATACCTGTAATCCCAGCCACGAGAAGCTGAGCAGGAGAACCCCAGTATCAAGGCCAACCTACACTACCCTAATGAGACTGTGTTGAAAACAAAATTAATAAAAAACGAAACCTTCAAGTCCACACAAGCTCGTGCTGTAGGTGTTAGTTTAAATGAGTGTGCGTGTAAAAGACCAACAGTGAGCCAGAAATAAGTGCAGAGTGAGTTGAGCAAACTTAAGCCCTACTCTATATCTTGTCTCAAAAGTAATTCCAGTACATTAAAAACACAAATTGAAAGTGTGTATCATAAATTTCTAGATGTTTTAAGAATTAAGTAAAACAGTATATGTTATTGTTGGCATACCATGGGCCCTAGAGCCAACCCATTTACATCCAATCTTTTAGGATATCTACTAATAGGTCAGAAGCAAGTCTAAGACATGAAATGATGATGGGTAATTTCCAAGTAGTTCATTATTTATTTTCCATCAATTTCAGCGAGTCAGGTCTCATAAAAACAGAGGAATACAGACACACCTATTCTCCATCATCTGTGAAACAGGACTACATAGTAAACATGATTTCAAATATGCATCTGTACATCAGTCATGCTAACAGCATCAATTAGAAAGTAGAAAGTATGTGAATATGCAATCATAGATTTGCACTGGGGACATCCATAGAAATTTAAAATGTTTTCTGTTTCCCTTTTTAGTAAGTACATGCTAACACTGATGACCCTCAAACCTAGAAATGACTAATTCAGTAGCAAATTATATCTACAAATATATTTAAAATGTATTCTGGCCAAGAAATATCAATGCTGAATCTAATTCAGTCTATAGATGTAATCTGTATAGCTTGCAGAATATTTCAGGGACATTACAAAAGTGTAATTAACAAAAGCCACAAAGCTAAAAGCCCTGGAGTAAATAAAAATAGTTAATTTAGTGAATACTATGTAAGGGATAATAAGAATCTATAAGAAATAGGTGCATGATGCAGAGATCCATGGCCGGGTGCCAGGCCAAGCTCTAGGAGTTCAATCCATGAGAGAGAGGAAGGATTCTATGGGCAAGGGACATGGAGATCATGATGGGAAAATGTACAGAGATGGCTGTGGACCAATAGCTGAGGAGCCCCCATGGTACTGGACTAGGCCCTCTGGGTATGTGAGACAGTTGTTTGGCTTGAACTTTTTAGGGGGCCCCCAGGCAGTGGGACTGGGACATGTCCGTGGTGCATGAGTCAGCTTTTTGGAGCCTGGTGCCTATGCTGAGACACTGTGTGGCCTTGGTGCAGGGGGGGAGGGGCTTGGACCTGCCTCAACTGAACGTACCAGGCTGGGCTGACTCCCTATGGGAGACCTTGCCTTGGAAGTGGTGGGAAAGAGGGGTCGGTTGGGGGGGAAGGCTGGGGGTGGGAGGAGGGAGGACAAAGGAATCCGTGGTTGGTATGTAAAATGAATAGAAAATCTCTTAATAAAAAAACGAGAGAGAGATAGGTGCATCAAGTTAGCACACAGTCTTTATTTGAACACTTACTTATTCAAACAAATCCATCATGTACAGGACATTTAAAAGATAATTTTAGCCACAATGTCCAGCTTCAACTATTCATGTTTTATAAAGCAAAATGAAATAAAATGCCCAGGTAATTTTGATGCACACAGCGAACTGAAGAGCACCAACTCAGATCACAGCCAGTTTAGGGACATTATTGAAAATAAAATAATGCAATAAAGGCATGCTGTGGCTTACCGTGGCACCGTTTCCCATCAGGAAGCAGAACAAACCCTGCGGGGCATGTGCAGTAATAGGATCCCGGGGTGTTTTCACACCCAAGAGTACAGCCATGGTTCTGAAGTCCACACTCATTGATATCTGCACAAGGACAACAGCAACCCACAGTCAGATGATTATCCTTGCAAATGAATTGTGATATCCTCAATTAGCACAGAGCAGGGCATCTCGTGCTTGCTTCTACTTGCAACTGGCCATGGGAAGGCTGCTTCTCCGGTCCTCAGAGAGGGTGACAAGAGACAGTCACTCCTATTGTGCCAGAGTGACCCAGAGAGGCACTGTCTCAGATGTTTAGATGGGCATTATCCTTTAATAAAAGTCACCACAACGTCCTCTGAGGATTGAACCGGAGTCTCGTGTGTGTGTTGAGTAAGCACTCTGTCATTAGGCGTCCACTGCACGCCCACCTCCCTCCCTTTTGAGAAAGGGTCTTCCTACACCTCCATAGCCTCAAGTGCTCCACAACTTCCACCTCAGTGAGTTCTCCTTGAATTCACTGAGAAGGTCAGGCTGGCCCTGAACTCAATCCTACCGTAGCCTCCCGTGAAGCTGGAATTTGAACATTTTAGCCAGTTTAGGGTATTTCCTGTTCTGCTTGGGGTCTTTCTCCAGATGACCTCACCTCAAGAGGGACACTTCTCCAACAGCCCTGCTCTCACTGAAGTGCCAACCTGTCACCCTCTGACTCTGGGACACAAGTCACAGCACTAGCTGTGGGCAGAAGCATGGGACTCTAACAGCCACAGGCCAGATGTGCCTGAAGCCAATTAATTCCTCTGAATGTGTGTGCCACTGCAGCTCCTAAAAAACAGGAGTTATTTATCCAGGGCTTATGATATTGGACAGGAATTTCCAAATAGGAGGCCAAGAGAAGGAACCAGCTAGATTCAGCCTCCCAGGGTTCTCTCTGGATCTTGTAAGATGTGTGCTGAGTACTCTATGGGCAAGATGTGTGAGGAGTACTCTCAAACTGATGGTAGCTATGGAATCACTCCTAAAAATATATAAAAGTTAAGAAAAGAAATTGTTCTTCCTAATATTTTGCACAAAGTCAAACAAAGAGATCTATTGGCTGCACTCAGAAAACTCTGGCCTTAAAGCTGAAGAGATGGCTCAGAGGTTAAGAGCACTTGCTGCCCTTACAGAGGACTGGGTTTGGTTTCCAGTACCCTAGTTTCAGAGGCTCCCACACCCTCTCTAGCTTCCATAGGCACCAGGCATGGACACAGTGCACACAAGTACATACAGGCACACATACACATAGAATAAAAATAATAAATCTTGGGGGCTGGAGAGATGGCTCAGAGGTTATGAGCACTGGCTACTCTTCCAGAGGTCCTGAGTTCAATTCCCAGCATCCACATGGTGGCTCACAACCATCTAGAATGAGATCTGGTACCCTCTTCTGGCCTGCAGGCATACATGGGGGAAGAATACTGTATACATAATAAATAAATAAATCTTAAAAAAATAAAAAATAATAAATCTTTAGGGAAAAAAAAAAAAACCTGGCCTTTTATCAGCCCCTCAGCAGCTTCCTAGTGGGCTGCATCTAGCAACAGAAGTCTATAAAAAAAGACCTGAGAGTATAATAAAAATTAAAACAGAAGGAAAAAGTCCTCTTCCGGGAAAGGAAGGAAGGAGGGAATGAAGGAGGGAGCAAGGAAGGTAGGTAAGGCTTAAAGTTTGTTCCCCTTGGAATCCTGGACCGTCCCGACCCCCAACGCAAGTCACAAACAGTCATGCGCACTTCATCCGCAGAGCGCTTGGTAGCTTTGTACCTGCCCACAGGATGTCTTTCAGCGCCTGCGTACTTTACCTTCGCAGTACTTCCGGTCTCGACTTAAAGTATAGCCCTCAGCGCATGCGCACGAGTGGGACTTGGGGTCTCGCTCACACGGACTGTAGCGGCACTGTCCTCTCCTCTGTTTGCAAAGTTCCGAGTCTGAAACAGAAGATGCTTTATTTCAGAGCAAGAAGAGGTGCGTTTTTTGACAGAGGGCCATGCTGGAACCCCTGTTGATTCCTGCGGGGCGGGGCTAACCTCAGTGACGTCGGCGGCGGCGCCGCCCACAGCACAGCTCCGCTCCAATCAGCCCGCAAACAGCATCACAACCCCACCCCAGTGCCCAAGCCTCCCCTGTTTGCCTAACCATAAAGCTCCTGCAGTCGCTCAGGGGCACATTAGGGCGTCCTAGTTAGCCCGAGACGGTATTTCTTAGTTTGCAGATGAGCACAGCTGTCAGCGCTTTCATTTTGCTTTGCATTTGTGTATTGAAACTACACATAGTATCTTTAAGAATTTAAACAGCTTCAAACTTCACAATGTTTTCCTTGACGGAAATATACCTGTCTGATACTTGGCTGGTTTTACGGTCATCATTTAGAGAAACGGGTTTCATACTTAACATATTCCCCTGGCAAATGCCTTACTCCCGATTATTTCGTTTTTCTGCTGCTAGAGTCACGTGTGCTATGAAATGTCCCAGGGGAAACAGTCAAGTCTGCTCAGTGAAATGGATGCTTGGGATGAGTTAGCTAGAGTTGGGTTAACTTACATATAACTGGAGTGCTAGCGTTACATGTGTGATTATTAACCATAAATTGATGCTTAGGTGAAATCCACTGTGATGAATAAGTGGCTAACATGGTACTTGTACTTTTCAGACCCAATGTCAAGAATTAACACCGGTAACATATAGACCTTTGTCTATTTCGCTCCCTCCTACATTTTACCAATTTTAACCACAGGCCTTTTGTGCTTTAGAAGTACAGAAATAATCCTAAGGGTGAGTACACATTTTCAAAATGCTAGGGATATGGTGACAGAGACCTGGGAAAAGGTGAAGGTCAAGAAAGAAGATTGGAGATGGGAGTGGTGGCGTGGCCTTTAACCCCAGCACTCTGGAGGCAGAGGCAAGAGCCTCTAGTCTAGTGAGACCCTATCTTAAAAAAATAAAAATCAAGTCACTGTCAAAAGATAAAATTTGAATGAATTTAGTTAAGTGACTTCTTTGGCTTTTATTTGCAATCCACAAGTCAAGTAGCGTTTCATGAAAATATGGAGAGGTGCAATGCTGTGTGTGTGGCTGAACAGTTGGCCTGAGGAGGAAGGAGGAAATGGCGTCATGCAAAGAGCAGATTGATTGATTGGTTTCCATTCATCCCCTTGTTAGGGTTAAAACAGCATGACTTTATCCTGCTGGGGAAACTGAACTTGGGGGATTCGTCACTCTCCTGATTGCTCAGGTCAGACAAACGATTGGTGATGTGGAACATCATTATGGTTGGGTCTGTCTAGACCTGGTGCAGGATCTCACTCAGTCCGAGCCAATCACCTTCCGTTCATTTTTATTTAGCATCAGTGAGAAGCATAGAAAAAGAGACCCAGGAATCTACATGTTACAGAATCCAAAGTGATTCTGATGTCAGAGTATTCAAAGCACACGTTTAGAAACTGTCACCTACTGCATTTTGTGTTATTTGCAGGTAATTAACTACGTTCAGCTAATTTGTCCACCCTACTACCATCCCCCAGCCCCGACAGGATTTTTCTGTGTAGCCCTGGCAGTCCTGGAACTCTATCTGTAGATCAGGCTGGCCTTGAACTCAGAGAAATCGACCTTATTTTCTTAAATATTTCTGATTTATTTTTTCAAATGTCTTGACAGAATTAAATGTACAATCTTGCCCACTAGCAATACAAATTCAACACTGTCTACTGGGTATGTTGAGATGCATTGGATAGTCTTTTAGAGATTAATTGTGTTTATTTCTGTAGTTTTATGTCAGTTATGCACATATATTGTTCATATTTCTGCCATTCATTTATGCTGCCAAGAATTTAAGCAGTATTAGGGGCTGGGGATATAGTTCGATTGGTGGTGTGCTTGCCAAACATGGATGAAGCCCTGGGTTTGATTTGCAGCCCAGAATAAACCAGGTAGAGTGATGCACACCTGTAACCCCATCGCTCAGGTGGAGGCGTGAGGAGCTGAAGGTGAAGGTCATCCTCAACTACATAGCAAGTTCAAAGCCAGTCTTGTCTACAAGTCCTTGTTAAAAGGAATGAGGAGGAAGAGGAGAGACTTAAGTGTTAAGCAAAGTGAAAAATAAAATATCTCAAACAATGAAAATGAATGAGTAAAATTACAAATGTATAGTTATTGGAAACAAGATGCAATCATTTCAATTTTGAAAAATTAAAGCATAAAGCATGTTTAACTTTTGTAACTTTGCAAGTGATCAACAACAACATCCCAGAAGCGTCTACATCAGACTTATGACACCAAAATGCCACCACCTCCCTAAGCTGGAATAAAGAAGATTATGCTTCCTATAAATACCCCTTATAACCACCTTTCCAAGTCTGGAGTGGTAGATAATTATAGGATTAAGAACCATGAACAGTCAAGTTCTGTTTCTCTCTTTTACAGCAAATCACTTTATCTTTTTGACCTTTGTTTTTTAATCCATGAAATAGATACTCTCTGAAACCTCTCTCTCTCTCTTTATTTAATTTTTTATTTTTTTGTGGTGTTAAGGATCAGAGCCAAGCAGGCTTGTGCGCTGTAGTCCAGCCTGACTTCAAATATTCAGTCCTCCCACTCAGTCTCCCGATTACTGGGATGATAGTTATGAACCATGACACCCAGCTCTCCCTCCTTTTAGAAAAAGTTATATGATTCCAAACAGAATTAGTTATTTATAGTAATTCTGCTAATTTATACAGTAAAGACCTCGAACCTGATGACTCCTCAATCCACGGTAATAGAAAAATCAAACCGAGTGATGAGGAAAACATTGCCATCTAGGATGGAGGTGGCACGCTGAATTTTACTCTAGATCCACTATTGTCTATCTCATTTTTTTTTGTTTCCATTCCATTATTCATCTGGACCATCACCACCATCATTAGAGTTATGTATACATATCTTAGTTCCATGTTTCTAATTGATAAACATCTGGGAGCAAGTCATCTGTTCTATGTGTCCAGCAGGTGGTCATGGCATCTGCAACCCTGTTTGGTTTGTCCTTGAATTCCCAGTGAGCCTTAGAGATGGAACCAAGACTCTGATGGACTGCTGTACTCTGCCTGCACTGCTGGCTTCAACGATATTCAGGGTTAACATTCGCCGCTCCCCAGTGCTCAACACAGGTGGAAAATGACCTGTTCTGTTTAGATGTAAATATTTGAAAGGTCATTTTAGGAAGTTGCTAAACGCAGGATTGAGAGTTACAATTTTTTTGTTTTGTTTTTTGAGACAGGGTTTCCCTGTGTAGCTTTGTGCCTTTCCTGGAACTCGCTTTGTAGACCAGGCTGACCTCGAACTCACAGAGATCTGCCTCCCTCTGCCTCCCGAGTGCTGGGATTAAAGGCGTGTGCCACCACCGCCTGGCGAGAGTTACATTTTTGTTTCATCTTCTTATTCTGCTGTTCTTTAGCTTTGAAATAGGTCAAAGCTAACACTCAAAATGCTGCTGCTGTCCTCAGATAGCAGAGCCCAGCAGAGGACTTAACCACCCTTGAGGTCAGTTAAAGCTCTTAACGGTGGAGTTGACGTCCACAACCCACTGTGCCTTCAGCAGCTACCCAGTGAGCACTCAGGCCATCGTGAGCTGAGCTGACAGGCAGCCCAGGAAGTCACAGTTGTCCCTGACCCAGTTCTAAAGCTGTGCACATGGGATTCCCTGGCCTGCTCCCTCCCACATCCTTTACACTTTTCCCTGTTTTAATTCTGTGTAACATTCACCCCATCAACAAATCTTTCTAGTCTTTTTTTCTTTTCTTTTCTTTTTTTTTATTTATTTTATTTTATTTTACAATACTATTCAGTTCTACATAACAGCCATAGATTCCCTTGTTCTCCCCCTTCCTGCCCCCCTCCCCTTCCCCCCAGCTCACCCCCCATTCCCACCTCCTCCAGATCAAGGTCTCCCCCAGGACTGGGATCGACCTGATAGACTCAGTCCAAGC